AAACAATCCAAGTGTCCATCAACAGATGAATGGATAAGCAAAATGGAATTGTATTTAGCCTTAGAAAGGCTTTTATGTTAAAGCATTGTATTCAGCCTTTAAAAGAAAGAAAATTCTGATATATGCTATGACTTAGATGAATCCTGAAGACCTTATAATAAATGAAATAAGCCAGCCACAAAAAGATACATACTGTATGATTCTGGCCAGATGTGGTGGCTCACGCCTGTAATCCCAGCATTTTGGGAGGCTGAGGCGGGCAGATCACTTGAGGTCAGGAGTTCAAGACCAGCCTGGCCAACATGATGAATCCCGGGTCTCCTACTAAAAAACACAAAAATTAAACGGTGGGCGTGGGGGCGCATTGACTGTATCCCAGCTGTCGCAGGGAGGCGAGACAGAACTGCTTGGAATCCTAAGAGAAGCGCTGAGTTGGCAGTGAGCCGAGAGGATATAGCGCACCACACACTCCAGCTCTGAGTGCATCAGAGGCGAGGACTCCGGTCTTAATAAAAACAAACAAACAACAAAACAAACATACGTTGTTCCATCATTATACTGAGTACGAGTGTCAAAATCATAGAGATAGGAAAGCAAAATGGTAGTTGCAGGGCTGGAAGAAGAATGAAGGTTATTTTTCACATGGATTATAGAGTTTTCAGTTTTAACAAGAATGAAGAGTTTTGAAGATGGATATGGTGATGACTGCCTACGTATGGATTATATTTTAAGACCACTGAACTGTACAGCTTAAATTCAGTTAGATTGTCTTTATTGTGTCATTTTATCAAAATTTTTAACAAAAAAATTGAAAAAGATTATAATCTAACCAGCTAAAAAGTCTCTAATATATATTGCTCAATATATACTTTATTTATTATACATGTAAGATATCTACTTTATTTGTTTGAAGACAGAGTCTTGGCTGCGTCTCCCAGGCTGGAGTCAGTGCCGGCAATCTCGGCTCACTGGCAACCCTCCAGCCTCCCGGGGCCTCAGCGATTCTCATGTCTCAGGCCTCCCAAGTAGCTGGGATTACAGGCGTGTGCCGCCAGCCCAGCTGATCTTTTTGTATTTTTAGTAAGAGATGGGGTTTTCACTATGTGGGCCCAGGCTGGTCCTTTGAACTCCTGGGCTCATGCAATTTGCCCCCGCCTTTAGCATCCCAAAAGTGCTGGGATTATAGGTGTGAGCCCCACTGTAGCCCCGCCATCAGATATAGCTTTAAAAAAGTAATACAACACGGAAAAGTAAGGATAAAATAATCTTATTTTTTAAAGCAGGTTTTTTTTTTTTTTGAGCGGACAGAGTCTTGCTCCCTGTCGCCCAGCTGGAGTGCGGGGGGTCGGGCGGTAGGCAAGCGATCTTGGCTCACTGAAAGCTCCGACTCCGGCGCGTTCACGCCATTCTCCCTCTGCCTCAAGCCTCCCCGACCGTAGCCTGGGACTGACAGGCGGCCTGCCACCACGCCCGGCTAATTTTTTTGGTATTTTTCTAAGTAGAGACGGAGTTTCACCCCAATCCTTGGCCAGGATGGTCTCGATCTCCGGACCTCGTGATCTGGCCCGCCTCGGGCCTCCCCAAAAAGTGCTGGGATTACAGACGTGAGGGCCACCACGCCTGCCTGAAACAGTTCTAAGAGGAACAGTTTTTGACCATTCCCTAACATCCCAAAAGACAATTTTAAAAAACTGTTCAGTGCAATCATACTTATTTCCCTTCATGTAATCATTTTATCAGGAAAATAAATGGGTCATTGTGACTGAGAAATATCAATCTTGTGATAATATTCAGGGAAGAAAAGTATAAAAATTTGCTGCTTGCGACTTAAAGTGGTTATGAATGATCATGTTACGCGTCGTGTTTAGTCCTGGGGCAAGGGCGGTAGGCGACGGAGTCAAATGGCCTTACTTCGAAAAGGAGCCACAAACCCTGTAGCACGAGAAGGGCCCCCTGGGGTAATTATGCACCACCCATTCCGTGTAAGAACAGTATTTAATACGCGTGTCATGGGCCCAGGGCGCGGTGGCTCACACCTGTCAATCCCAGCACTATTGCGGAGGCCAAGGCGGACAGATCAAGAGGTCAGGAGATTGAAGAAAACCATCCTGGCTAAGCACGGTGAAACCCCCTTCTCTATCTAAAAGAAATACAAAAAAATTAACCCTGCCACATCTCGGTGCACGTGCCTGTATTCAGCTAAGGCTCGGGAGCTGAGGCAGGAGAATCGCTGAAGCCGGGAGGCAGAGATTGCAGTGAGCCTGAAATCACACCACTGGCACCTCCCCCAGCCCTGTGTGCAGAGTGAAGGCTGCCGTCCCAAAAAAAAAAAAAAAAAAGAAAAAACACACACACGTGTTCAGCAGGTGTTATGGGCACACATAGGAGCAGTACGCTAACCTTACACAGGGGAAAGGCTGCAAATCTGTGCTAAAAGGCTTAGAGACCAAACCCTCCTGCCCCTAAGCTTCAGGTCAAAGCTGAGAAGGGGAACGCCCTCCTGGACAGATGGAGCTTCAGACACCCTCCTTAACCACAAACAATGCTGAACCTGATTCAGCAAACGTGGTACTGATTCCCTCCTGGTGGGGCCTCAGGAGCATCTTATCTGAGTTGGGTGACCTAAGCGCAGGTTTTGCCTGGGTCCTGTTCACCCTGATGATCCTAAGCGCAGAGCTTTTGGGATCCAGAGTCCAACAGAGACCCAGGCCTATGACCCTCCTCCCCCATTTCCTCTCCCCTATCAACCGGAAATCCTTCTCTAAACATCCGAAGAACGGTCCTAGCCATAGTAGCATTTTTCTTAAATAAACTTCCCTCCATTTTTCTGTGTGTGTGTGTTTTTTTTTTTTTTTTTTTTGAGATGGGCTCTCTCTCTGCTGCCCAGGCTGGAGTGCAGTAGTGCAATCATAGCTCACTGTAGCCTCAAACTCCTGAGCTTAAGTGATCCTCCCACCTCAGCCTCCCAAGTGGCTGGCACTATAGGTGTGTGTGCCACTACACCTAGCTTAAAACTTCTCTCATTTCTTATTGTTCTGGTGGCTTCAAATGTAAGAATGGCAAATGCCTTTTTTGTTTCCTAACTAAAAATGTAGTACACGTGTGATGAAAAAAAGGCAAGCCAATGCGGTGGCTCACACCTGTGATGCCAGCATTTTGGGAGGCTGAGGCGGGTGGATCACTTGAGGTCAGGAGTTTGAGACCAGTCTGGCCAACATAGTGAAACCCCATCTCTAGTAAAAATACAAAAAATAAGTTGGGTGTGGTGGCGCACACCTGTAATCCCAGCTACTTGGGAGGTTGAGACAGGAGAACTGCTTGAACCCGGAAGGCAGAGGTTGCAGTGAGACGAGACTGCACTACTGTACTCCAGCCCGGGTGACAGAGCGAGACTCCATCACCCCCCTAAAAAAAGGGGCAGGCCAGACGCAGTGGCACATACCTAAAATCTCAGCACTTTGGGAGGCTGAGGCGGGCAGACCACGAGGTCAGGAGATCGAGACCATCCTGGTCAACATGGTGAAACCCCATCTCTACTAAAAACACAAAAATTAGCTGGGCATGGTGGCACATGCCTGTAATCCCAGTTACTCGGGAGGCGGAGACAGGAAAATCGCTTGAACCAGGGAGTTGGAGGTTGCGGTGAGTCAAGACCACGCCACTGCACTCCAGCCTGGCGATGGAGCAAGACTCCATCTCAAAAAAAAAAAAAAAGAAAAGAAAGAAAAGCAAATGAGGATGCATAATGTTTACATAGACATTGCTACTAATGATCCTATAGATACATAGCTATATCTATGTAAACATTCTAAATGGGTATCCGGCTCCTCCATCTCTGCTCCCAGTCCCACCCTGCTTCAGATGGAGCCAGTTCAGGAATTTGCTAACTATGCTCAGGGGAAAGGTCCCACTCATCAAAACACCTCTCCAAAGGAACTATTATCAAATATAATATCAAACTTTTTCTCCTAGGATTCATCATTCATGGCAATCTTTAAAAAAATCTAAGAAGTCGTATTAGTTCCCTGCCCCAAATCATCAGCTCAAGCTACACTGGCCTCTTTGCTACTCCTTGAATACACCAGACACACATCCTGCTGCTAGGCTGTTCCCTCTGCCCAGAGCATTCTTCCTCTAGACTTAACTCCCTCATCTTAACTCCCTCATCTCCTTCAAGTCTGCTCAGATGTCACCATCTCAATAAGGATAAGGCTTACCCTGACCACATCATTTTAAATTGCACCCCTACTACAAAACCCCCACCTCCCCACTCAATCGCCCTTACCTTTCTCTACCTTTTTTCCCTTTTGAGATACTACTGCCTTCTAGGATACCATACAAATTACTTATTTACTGAATTCTTGTCTGCCCTCTTTAGAATGTAAGCTCCTTGAGAGCAGAGTCCTTTCTAATTTTGTTCACTGAAGTATCCCAACTGCCTAGAAAAGTGCCTGACACATCACAGGGCTCAATGACTATCTGGTGAATGAGCAGATGAATGAATGATGAATGAACGAATGAGTTACAAGGCCAAAAAGAACAAGTCCAAACTCCTTCCATTCTCCTCTACCCACTGCCAGCAGCCCACAGCTGATGTTACACAGAACAATGCTTTAATGAACATGCACCCCCCCATTTTCTTGCCTCCCAACTTGCCTGATTCACCAAGTCAATCAACTCTACCCTCTCCCTTTTTTTTTTAGGTTTTGTTTTGTTTTGTTTTTTGAGATGGAGTCTCACTGTCACCCAGGCTGGAAGGCAGTGGCGGGATCTCAGTTCATCGCAAACTCTACCTCCCAGGTTCAAGTGATTCTCCTGCCTCAGCCTCCCTAGTAGCTGGGACTACAAGTGCCCATCATCATGCCTGGGTAATTTTTGTATTTTTAGTGAAGACAGAGTTTCACCATGTTGGCCAGGCTGGTCTTGAACTCCTGACCTCAAGCGATCCGCCTGCCTCGGCCTCCCAAAGTACTGGCATTACAGACCCCTTTTGTTTTCACCTGCTTAGACTCTGCTCCTATTCAAAGGTGAAAACTGCACTGACTTCTTCCCACTGGCAGAACGTCCTGGCTCCTCTCTTAACTCCAAGCAGCCTCTGGACCTCTGTAACAACATGTGACACCAGCTCTCTTGTGCTCTACTTCTGCAGGAGACTGTCTGCTCCCACTAAATCAACTTCACAGTTAAGCAGTCACAGGACTCATTACTCATCTTTGCATTCCCCTGAGGGCCATGCTCAGAAAAGGGGAACCACTGCTAAAGGGAAATTTCTGCCTGAAAAGTCCCATTTAGGACCAGTATTCTGTCCGTCCTTCATCCCTGGTTATCATCTGCAGCCTGAGTTAGATAACCCACGTGGACATCATCAGGCCATTCAATGAGAATGCAACTGAGCCAGGGTGTTCGGGAAACATAGCTTTAAAAGTAAAGTTTACAATGGTCCTTAAAATTCACTGCTCAGAACATGAATCCACTTTCACCACTAAAAAGGTATCCTCCTACTATAGAAAAGACTGGAGTCCCTGATGAGGTGTTAAGTCATCTAATTCTCACAATCCTATGGAGGACACTTTGCATGTAAAAGGGATAATGATCATGATGTGCTCTGGCTCTCCTCAAACCAAGTAACTGTCTTGTTTTAGTACTGTCAGGTGTCTTACTCCTTAAGGCTCATCCCTGTAAAACAGAAACATATAATAAGAAGTAAATATAAATATATTTATTCGAAAAGGCAGGCCGGGCCTGGTGGCTCAAGCCTGTAATCCCAGAACTTTAGGAGGTCAGGAGATCAAGACCATCCAGGCCAACATGGTGAAACACTATCTCTACTAAAAATACAAAAATTAGCTGGGTATGGTGGCATGTGCCCAGCTGTGGTGGCTCACACCTGTAATCCCAACACTTTGAGAGGCTGAAGTGAGCAGATCACTTGAGCTTAGGAGTTCAAGACCAGCCTGGCAAAACCCCATCTTTACAAAAAATACAAAAATTAGGCCAGGTGTGGTGGTTCACACCTGTAATCCCAGCACCTTGGGAGGCTGACGTGGGCAGATCAATTGAGGTCAGGAGTTTGAGACCAGCCTGGCCAACACGGTAAAACCAACTCTACTAAAATACAAAAAAGTTAGCTGGGTGTGGTGGTGCACACCTGTAATCCCAGCTACTAGGGAGGCTGAGGCAGCAGAATCACTTGAACCCAGGAGGTGGAGTTTGCAGTGAGCCGAGATCAAGCCACTGCACTTCAGCCTGGGCAACAGAATGAGACTCTGTCTCAAAAAATAAAATAAAATAAACAAAAAATACAAAAATTAGCCAGGCATGGTGATGTGCACCATGGCAGAGGTTGCAGTGAGCCAAGATCATGCCACTGTACTCCACACTGGGTGACAGAGACCCTGCCTGACTCACAAAAAAAAAAAAAAAAAAAAAAGCATGATGTATTGTATGCTTAATTTACTATAAACTGCTTTTAAAGGACATTACTAAGTTGCTATTTTTATCTTTTTACTTTTCAATTTTTTGTTTTTTTGCAGAGAAAGAGTCTACGTTGCCCAGGCTGGTCTCAAACTCCTGGGCTTAAACTAAGATCCTACTGCCTCAGCTTCCCAAAGTGCTGGAATTACAGGTGTGAGCCACTGTACCTGGCAACGTGGTATTTTTATTTGGATTGATCTTGATGTCTCACACACCTAACAACTACAGTCTATCATTGTTCCTTAATTCTAAAGAGAGTGTAGATTCAAAGATACAGATATTATCCGGATCTTGGTGTATTTTCACCAATATGTAAATCAATGGATAACCTTACAGTTGTGATGCTTCTAGAAAATGTCCCCTCTGCCACAAGAATAAATGGGTTCACGAATCAGCCTCGCACTAATTAAGGTGAAGGCTGGACTTCTGCGGGGGGGGAGGGGGGCGGGGAGTGGTATGCTCTATGACATTTTTGTTAAAGCAGAAAAGGACACAAAAAGCTCTGGGAGAATCAGCCCTGGTTTTGTTTTTGGTTGTTTTTTTATTTTGTTTTTGCCTCCTTGCCCAAGAAAGCCCATCTCCAGCCTCGTCCTAGACATGTTCTAACCAGGCTTCTACGGCCCCTTACGGACACTCTATGGGCCCTGGGTCAGAAGCTGGGGCTCCTCTCTCCTCACTTGCCGACAGTCACTTCCTCCTCTACAGTGTTCCATCCTGTTACCTCACTCTCTCCATTCCTTATTGACAAGAGTTCAAAAAATTGGCGTGGCATTCAGGACTCTCAAAACTGACACTTCCCAACGCATCCAATCTCAACTCCTCCCATAAGATCACACCACACTGGCCCCCTCTACCCCACAGAGCAGCCTCCCCTTTGGGAATCTCGCTCCCCAAAGCCTGGGGAGCAAGGCTAGGAGGCTCCGATCGAGCCAAGCAAGCAAGGGAGTCGCCAGGAGAACAATGACTGCTCCAAACACCCCCGGGAGATGTGATGGATGGATGGGATGCCCAGGAGGTTAGGAACGCGTTGCTCACCTGGGGCGTGGCCGTCGGAGGCCTCGGGGCCATTCCTGCCTCGCCAGGGCCCGGCTCCGGGGCAGGAGCTGGGGAGAGAGGACAGGGCCCACTCACCCCGCCGCAACACCAACCCCACCCCACTCCGCCCCGCCTCCGCCCCTAAACCACATCTCCAGCGGAGACGGTGGCGAGGACCGCGGAACCAGCCCGGGCCTGCCGCTCCCCATCCCCGAAATGAAAGGCTCGGCGGCCTCCCGGACACCCCCCTCCGGCCACGCCCAGTCCCCTTCGCAGGGTGGTGGGCGAGGCCCGGCTGACACCCGCCAAACCCAGGAGGGGTGCCGCCCAGACCCGCGCACTCAGAATCACCGCCTCTGGGGGGCTCCGGATTTCGCGACCTCCGGCCCACCCAGAGCCTCGGGCAGCTCCTCCCGCCCCCGCCGCAGGCTCGGTTATCTCCAATTCCGATCTGCTGAGGGGCTGCCTAAAGGGGCCTCAGCCGCACCGGGGTCGGACAATGGCCGCAGCGGCAGGGCAGAGCCGGAAGTGCGCCTGCGCACGCGGAGCCTCGCTCCCGCAACCCCGGAGCCTCGCCGGGCGCGCGAACTACGCTTCCCAGAGGCCCGCGCGCGCGCGGGCCCCGCCTAGGCGGCCTCAGAAGACGCGTTAGGGACCCCTGCGAGGGCCAAGGGAGGCGGCCGGAGTGGCTCGAGTGTGCATGTGTCCGTGTATTCCACAGTCACTGTGCGCCTCTTCTGTGCAAGGGGCTTGTTACTAGCCGGGGGATCGGCCGGGAAAGACCCTGGTTTCGGGGAGCAAGCGTACGCCCCGTGGGGCGAGGCTGACAATAAAAACGCAAACATAATGTCAGGTCTTGACTTCAGCTGTAAGAGTGACACACGAAGGGCGTGAGACAGCGTCAGAGGGTGGGGCATTTGCATCTTCATCAAAAGGCAATTTTCCATTTCTCATTTCAGAGAAAAGAGAAACTTCGGACTTCGGATAAATCCGTGGCCTCCTGAACAGTGTGCCAACGCAGACCGACGGCCGTGTTATTTCATTACTCAGTAGTCCCTTGCGCAGGATTTTGTGTTTGGGACAGGCCAATAGTGATGGAAATTTTCTTTCATTTCTCTTCCTTTCTTTCCTTTCTCTCTTTCTTTTTTCCTCTCTCTCTCTTTCTTTTCAGATGGAGTTTCGCTCTTGTTGCCCAGGCTTGAGTGTAACAGCGCGATTTTGGCTCACCGCAACCTCCGCCTCCCGGGTTCAAGCGATTCTCCCGCCTCAGCCTCCCGAGTAGTTGGGATTACAGGCATGCGATGCGCCACCACGCCCGTTTAATTTTGTATTTTTTAGAGACGGGGTTTCTCCACGTTGGTCATGCTGGTCTCAAACTCCTAACCTAAGGTGATCTGCCTGCCTCGGCCTCCCAAAGTGCTGGGATTACAGGCGTGGGCAACCGCGCCCGGCCGGATGGAAATTTTCAGCACAAAGATAGGTCAACTTTTAGATACAGCCATTAGGTTTATGTAATTATGTGTTATATATCACAGACATTCAGTCTACATTTCCTAGATTTCAGCTTGATTTCTTAACATTAGAGCATCGCATACCAACATGGTAGAAAATGACTGAAACAAAATGTTCCTGATGTCACACTGCTTTATCAAAAATATGAACATTCAAAAATAAATGCTTTATGCCAGGTGCGGTGGCTCAAGCCTGCAATCCCAGCACTTTGGGAGGCTGAGGCAGGTGGATCACCTGAGGTCAGGAGTTTGAGACCAGCCTGACCAACATGGAGATACCTTGTCTCTACTAAAAATACAAAAGTAGCCGGGCATCGTGGCGTATGCCTGTAATCCCAGCTACTCAGGAGGCTGAAGCAGGAGAATCGCTTGAATCCCGGAGGCAGAGGTAGTGGTATGTCGAGACTGCACCATTGGACTCTAGCCTGGGCAACAAGAGCAAAACTTCATCTCAAAAAAACAAAACAAAACAAAACAAAACAAAAGGAAGAAAATTTCCATTACTGTTGGCTTGTCCCAAACACAAAATCCTGCACAAGGGGCTACCAAGTAATGAAATAACATGTCAATTGCACAGGGAGGCTGAGGAGGGAGGAGTCCAGGAATTAAAAGACCAGCTTCGGCAACATGGCAAAACCCATCTCTACAGAAAATACAAACATTAACTGGTTGCAATAGTGTGCGCTTGTCAAGTCCAAGCTACTTGGGAGGTTGAGGTGGGAAGATAGTTTGAACCTGGGAAGCAGAGGTTGTGGTGGGTTGTGATTTCACCACAGCACTCTGGCCTGGGTGACAAAGCGAGACTCTGTCTCAAAAAAAAAATATATATATATATAAAAATTAATGAGTGCTTTCTATCACTGCTTTGTGAATATAGTGCTCTGGAATTAGCAGAACGCATAATTCAGAAGTATGAATTCGAGTGGACCGGGAGGCCTGAGGCAAGTGACTTAGTAGCTGCAACTAAGGCAACTGCAGGCTGGGCACGGTGGCTCACGCCTGTAATCCTAGCACTTTGGGAGGCTGAGGGGGGCGGATCACCTGAGGTCAGAGTTTGAGACCAGCCTGGCCAACATGGTGACACCCCATCTCTACTAAAAATACAAAAATTAGCAGGGTGTGGTGGCATGCACCTGTAGTCCCAGCTACTTGGGAGGCTGTAGCAGGAGAATCACTTGAACCCCAGAGGTGTAGGTTGCAGTGAGCCAAGACTGCACCACTATACTCCAACCTGGGTAGGAGATGGAGACTGTCTCAAAAACAAACAAACAAAAAAACCACCACCACCAACAACAACAAAAAAACCAACTGCAGGTGCACAAGGGGAAAAGAATTCCAAGCTGAAGAAACTGAAGGTGCAAAAGCTCTCAGATGGGAACAAGCTTGGTGTGCTTAGGAACAGATAGATGCCTAATGTAGCTTAGCAGAGTGAGGGATAAGAGAGTGAGCAGAGCAGAGGTAGGGCAGGTAGACTGGGGCTTGATGGAGCAAGGCTTTGGAGGTCGTGATGAGGGGTGTGGATTTTACTTTGTGTGATGAGAGTCACTGGCTTAATAACAGCAGTGGAATCACTATGAGAGAATAATAAGAGGAATTTTTCCTATTGTCCCAGAATTGGTAACCAGGACTCAGAATTGAGGATTAAGTTCTATATTCTAAGGAAAGATGAAAACATTTCGGGTGAGAACCTCTCAGGTCTTATCAAAGGAAGCTGGGTGCTGAATTCTGAATTTGCTCTGTTACTAT